CCACTTCCAGCTTTTTGGTGGTTAATTGGAGATATGAATCTCGTGGAATTTCCTGCCCTGGCAGGCTTTGAACCAGATCTTCAGATCTTGGCCTCTGATAAGGCTTCTTGCTTACCTTGTTGAATAGTGGCCTGTATATAGTATTTGAGGTTTTTAAAAAAGTGGACTCATTAAGGAAATGTATAGGAATTGCTATGAAATAGAATTACAGAGAGTAGTAGCATTTTCTTTTCTTTTTAAAATACTGACTGCAAAATCGCAACAGGCTTCTTAGAGGAGGAGGAGGTAATAATTTAGTTGTCCTGATAAGGCAGGGTATCGCTAGTGTTTATTCTTCCACCTGGAAAAACATGTCTGAAAGAGTCAAAGGTGAATGGATCTACTTGGTTTGGGAATGCAATACCAAGGTTGTTGAGAATAGAGGCTGCAAAATGCTTATGTTAGATGGAAAGCTCCTGATGTGCTATTATTCAGGAGGTGAAACGATTTTGTCAGCATTGCAAAGTCTCTTGACGTGGGTACTTGATGTGTGGCTGAGGGGTGAGGTGAGCTAACAGGAACTTACATACTAGAAGGGCTGTGGTGCCATTAACAAAGATGGGGGTTGTACAAGTGGTCAGGTAGGGGTGGATAGACGTGATGGAAAGAGAGGACTCAGGTTGTAGATAGTATTAGAAATGACGAGGGGTACAGAGAGCTAATGCTTACATCTGTAATCCTAGCTCCCCAGAGGGAGACAGGGAGAATCATAGTTCTAAGCCAGTCTGCATAAAAAGCAAGCCCTCATTTCATCCATCAAATTGGTACTCTCACTTAAATTGAAGGCAAAAATAGCCTAAGGACTAGACAGGTTTGTTCTAGGTAAACCAATGCAAAAGACTTTTGCAAAAAGTTGGAGGCATTGTTCAAGTGGTAGAGCATCTTCCCAGAATATAGTAAAACAAAACAAAACAAAACAAAAAACTTGTTATTACTGAGCATATTTGTAAGTCTAGGTTAAATGGGTGTTGAGGTTTGCTGTGTATAATTCCTCGGGTGTGTTCTGTTTGTTATTTGAATTCTTTTTCAAGCATACTTGTGTCATGTGATTTGAAAAAAGATTGTTGGTAAGATTTGCAGTTGACTTAAAGTTTGTGATGGCAGACAACTGTGTTCATTTGTTTTGACTTAACACAGAGTTGTTTTGTTGTTTCAGGAGAACATTTTATTGTTGGTTTCCCAGCAGTTTTCCTCCTCTTTAACGTAATTCTCCCTTGTGATCAGATGGCGCAAGGTTAAATTTCAAATGACATACTGGCTTTTTAGAAAGATTTTCTGAAATTCTCAGAATTTTCTTCCGATGACAACATACTGGCTAAGAGTCCATTATATTGACTCAAAATTTATTAGATAGGACTTTGAGGACATTCTACCTATAAAAAACTTGTTACAGTTTAGTGCCACACAGAAAAAGTGCTTCAGTAAAGACTACAATTTTTAATCTTCAGTATCATAGTGCCTTTGTAATTTTCCAATATTGGCAGTATTTTTACAAGAAGTCATTCTTTTTAAAAAAATTGTTATTGTTAATTATAATTATTGTTAATTATATTATCGTTATACTAATTTATTGTTAAAGTGATATATAGAGGGGTTTTAGTTACATAAGTCAGTAAAGAGTATGTTCATTTTGGACAATGTCACCCTTTGCCCCCGCCCTTCCCCCCCCGCCCCACTTTCTTCCAGTTTTTACCTTTTGTCCCCATCCACAAGTTTTTTTAAAAATTTTATTTAGTGTAGAGATGCTGTACAGAGGGCTTAGAGGGGTTTCAGTTCCGTGAGTAAGGCAGTGATTACAGTTCTTGTTGAGCCTTGTCACCCTTCCCACTATCCCTTCCTTCTCCCCTCTCCCACCCCCTCATTTCCCTCCCCCCCAAGTTGTAAAGTTCATTTTCAAAATACTGTCTTGTGGGTATCATTGTTGCAATGGGTCATCCTGTGTCCTTGTTTCAGTGTTTTGTTTTTTTCCTTCCCCTCCCCAAATTAGACAAATGTATATATAAGATGCAGGGTACCAAAATCAAGTACAGTGACAATAGGGGATATACCATAGGGGGAAGACATACAAAATCACACAGTACATTTAAAACAACAACAACAAGGAAAGACCTCTTGTGTCCATATCTTGGGGTTCATTTCACTTAGCATCATCTTATATGGTCATATGTACACAGCTTTTGAGCTTTTCTGCTCATCTGATAAAATCATCCTAGACGTATACAAATTATCGCAAGTGAGGGAAACCATGGGACCTATGTTTCTTTGCCACCCACAAGTTTTATAGTTCATTTTCAGTGTAGTATCTAGTGAGAGCTACTGCTGCATTTTGTTCATCCTTTGTGAATTATTCTTGATAGGTAAATTCTCTAAGGTAGTGGTTTGTCATATAAGAATTCTATAAACAGGTTGAAGGATATTTGCCTTGTTTTTTCATTTTAATTGTTATGGGAAGAAACGTTTAAATGTTAATTTAAGATTCTTTTTGCTGGCTGGAGTTGCCTCAGTGGTAGAGTGCTTGCCTTGCATGCATGAGGCCCTGGGTTCGATTCCTCAGCACCACATAAGCAGAAAAAAAAAAGCTGGAAGTGGCGCTGTGGCTCAAGTGGTAGAGCGCTAGCCTTGAGCTGAAGAGCTGAGGGACAGCGCCCAGGCCCAGAGTTCAGGCCCC